GTGGACCTAGAGGTGTTGTGCGTGGTTCCTAAGCAACCCTGAGGAGACTTAACTGACCTTGATAGGTAGGAAAAAGGTGGGTCTAACATGGGTCTTGGCTTAATTTGGTCTCAAACATCCAGTAGAAACACATAACCACAAGATGTATAAATCAGCACTGTCATGTAAGATGTGAGCTGTAAAGGGTTCAAATCACCAACAACTTCGGACACTTTGCCAACTAGACGGGCCGCTGACTTCCGTTAGGGATGCTGGGACTGTGTTCTCCAAGCGCGGCCTTTCCAGCTGATGGCCCGTCATTTACAAAGCAGAGGAGAGAGATGTTGGGGGCGGCTGGAAGGTAACTGCGCCTGCAGGACGAAGCCAGCCCCAGAACGCGGGAGTCCTCGGGGCACAGAATCAAGCAGCTGCAGCTTGTGAACGGACTGCTGAGCAGCGAGGCGGGAATCAGCCAGCCTCTCCAGGGTATAAACGAACGCCCTCCTGTGCCCGGGCGGGTCCCCTTCTCCGCCCAGGACAGAGGGCCTCGCCTGACCCCAGCTTTTCATCGTTCGTCTATTTGTTCCTCATTCTCGCGGCTGTTCCTCCCCAGGGTACAGCAAGAAGCCAGCGGATCCCTACAGAAGTGACGCGACTTTTCTGCGGGCATGCAGCTGGGAGGGCTGAGCCCCAAGTCCGCCCACGCCCGCCCTCTCCGAAGCCCAGCAGCTCTCACCCAGCAGCACAGAGGCCCCCCGGCAAGCGCCCACTCTCCAGCAGCAGGCGTAACCCTCGAGGCTTCTGGCGCCCACTGGCCCAGGCCTGACTCCTGCCGGACCCGACAACCCACCACACAGGGAGCCAAGATGTCTTTCTCAGCACGGACTTGCCGCTGATCCCAGCCAGGGCCAAACCGGCTCCGAGGCCGCGAGGCCGGGGGAGCAGCAGCCCTGGCAGCCGGGTAGGGCGTGGCAGTGCGGGTGCGGGGGCAGGAGCAGGCCGTCTCCCGGGACCGGGGTCCTGCCGTGAGCTCCTCCGTGTGCACGACGGAGGCGCAGGCACCGGGGTGAGGGTGTGGATGCCCCAGTCACTGGGCTCCTTCGAACCCCGCTCCTGCCACGCGGGAGCCTGATGACCGCAGGAAGTCCCTGAGCCTCTCCAGCCGGAGCTGGGTCTCTGCCCTCGCGACGGTGCTGGGGCTTTCGTGAGCGTCCCAAGGGGCCCTGCAACCTCAGAAGTTCTCACTCCCAACCAGCAGCCCCGGGGACAGACGCTGTGTTTATTCTCATCTCCCTTACCAAGAAAACAAGCTGTGTTCAGGCAGCCATCGGCCCAGCCCAGGCCCTAAGTCCTGACTGGCCTCAACCAGTGCGGCCCAGAATGCGGTACTCTGTCCCCCGGGCCACGTCTGGAGGCAGTCCGGGTTGTCCCGGCTAGACCTGTGCTACTGTGTCTGGTGGGTGAGAGCCAGCCACGTGAAGGGCCTGCGACGCACGGACAGCTCTGCGACAACGCGTCGTCGGGCCCCAGAGCGCCAGGCTGAGAAGCCGGTGGAAGCCGCGCCTGTGCCCCCTTCCCGCACCCCTTGCTGCTGGGGGGTGCACCTTGTGACCAAGAAACAGTGCAGCCGAGGGGAAGGTCGGCGGGGACTGCCGCCCCGCGTCCCCTCCTACGCTCTCCCCTGAACACACCCCTGCAGCTGTAAAGTCACATGTGCCGAGGGGGTGCCACGCACCCGGGAGAGTCAGCACTGCAGAGGCTGCTCACGCCTGACTCCGCGCACCCGACCAGTTCTGGGCCTGACCCCAGTCTCGCCCTTGGCTTCTCCTTCTTGAGAGAAATTAATTTCTATCTGCTGAAGTCACTCAAACGACATTACTTGCTATTCCTTCTAAGTCAGGTACAATTTTTTTTTTGGTCTTTTTGTGACAGGGTCTCGCTATGCAGTTCAGGCTGGCCTCGAACTCGCAACGATCCTCCTGCCTCAGCCTCCCGAGTGCTGGGATTACAGGCATGTGCCACTGTGCCCGTCAGGTCAGGTTCAATCTAAACAGGAGACACTGAGGAAAAAGCGGACAGATTCACATCGTCCGATGGTCCGCTGTTCTGTCTCACTTGCGTTACTCTGAATGAATCCCAGGCCTTAGCATCAAGCCACATCCCCAGCACCTACTTTTTATTTTGAGACAGAGTCCCACTCAATCACTAAATTGCTCAGACTAGGCTTGAACTTGTGATCCTCCTGCTTCAGCCTCCCAGAATGCTGGGATTACAGGCCTGTGCCAGCATGCCTGTCATCCCACAGATTTTTAAAATGGAAAAGTAAAAGCCCAAATCCTCAACCTGGCCTGCAAGAGGCATCTGACCTGGCCCCCGCCTCCCCTCGTCCCTCCTCAGCAGCCGCCGGCTGCCTCCCACGCACCTCAGGCCGGGCGAGCCCTACGCCCCAGGCCGCAAGGCTCCACAGAGCTCTACGCAAGCCTCACTGTCTGCTGTGGAGTACTGACTCCTAAGCTACGTCACCTTCCGCTCTGACGCCCGCCCTCCCTGGGCTGTCAGAGCTGCTCCTCCCGCTCGCCCCCTCTCCGCGCACAGCCCGACCCCGTCGCCTTGGGGTCCGGTCCTCGGCGCTGAGCCGAGGGGTGGGACGCACTCAACCACCCACTGCGAGGAAGGGAGGACGCGGCCTTCTTTCCTGGCCGTGTTTAACTCCATCTTGGGGGTGAGACCCTTTTTTAAAAAGCACCCGAAAAGTCTTCTCTGATAAGAATATACGTCTTGTTTATAACTTTGCTTTGACTGTACAAAAACCCAAGTCTTTCCAAGCAAACTCTGCTGAGTCGTTGGCGGCTGTGGAGATGGAGTCCGCTCTGGAGTCACGCGGCGGCAGGACAGCGGCCCTGGCCTCTGCTCGGTCAGTAGTTCACACCCCGCATGGCAGCCACCGTGCTGGCGAGGCGGCGCGGCAGGCCTTTGCTGAGCTGCCTGTAGTCCTCGGGCTTGGCCTTCAAGAGCGTCACGATGCTCTGCAGTGTGCGGGACGGCTGCAGGCCCAGGGCGTCCATCACGTTGATCAGATAGTCTGCAGGGGCGGAGGAGACAGACTCAGCGGCACGTGGGTGGGGCCCGAAGGCACCCTCGGGTCCCCAACACCGGGCCCCTGCTCTGCCCCGGCACACAGGCCTTCGTCCAGAGGGCTCCTCCAGCAGGGCCAAACTGGACTGCGGGCTTGGCCCAAGCCCCGGAATTCTCCCGGAATTAATAAAGGACTGGCCAACACCACCCACCAACGCACACAGGTACGCACACGGGCACAGAGGCACACATGCATGCACGCACGAAGGCACACACGCACACACACACACACGCACACACGCACAGTGGCACACATGCACGCACATGCACAGGCACACATGCACGCACACTGGCACATACACACACACACATATACACACATGCACGCACATGTACATACATACGCACACAGGCACACATACAGGCACATAGTCACACATGCACACATGCACAAATGCACGCGCACACAGGTACACATGCATATGCACACACATACACAGGCACGCGCACACGTGCATGTACATAGGCACACGTGTACGCACACAGGCACACATGCACAACGCTGCACATACATGAACACACAGGCACACACACAGGCACACAGGCACGCCCATGCCTCCTGCACCAGTCTGATGAAAGGCTGATCTCACCCAGAGCCCTGCACCTCTTCTGCCCTGGGGTCCTCAGCCTGCTGCCCTGCGTACCCCTAAGCGTGTGCAGACCCCGGTGGGGCTGGCACACGAAGGCTCGTCTGAGTAGCTGCCACAGCCTTCCCATCAGAACCTTACCGGGATGACGAGGGTGGCAAGGCCCGTACCATGCAAACTGCTTCCCAGCTAACCTCTTGGGGAGCCAGCTAAGGGCAGACTTCTGAGCCCACCGCCAGACCAAGTCAAGGAGAACTTTCCCACCGCGGCCTGGGTTCACCTCTCCTCCCTGACCAGGGAGGGTCCAGCAAAGCCCTGGGTCTTCACTGTCCTCCCTGTCGGCTCAGCTCGGGGCCGGCCCGGAGGCAGCGGCTGGCTCGCTCCAACTCAGGATGAGCTGACTCGCAGGGAAGAGGCGCAGACAGGGAGGCGCCCTCCCGTGCACCTGTTTACCGTCCCCCCTTGAGCTCCACTGGCCCTAAGCGGGACGCCGCAAGTGGGAGGCCTGGTCTATCACAGCATTCTGCTGCTTGGCCAGCAGTGTTTCCCGTTCTTTGTGTCCGCTTTAAGTGTCTCCCGGGTGAGCACGCGTTTCCAGACCTCAGCGCTCTCCGGTCTCCCACCCGGGCAGCTTCGCACACCAGCCCTTAACCTCACCCCCGCAGTGCAAACACAGCGAGCAAGGGGACCCCGGCCGGCACACAGTCGGTGCCCAATCAATGCAGAGTGAGTGAACAAAGGAATCCAGAGCGCACGGAGGGGGGCAGAAACAGCACGAACAGCTGCGCCCCCGGGGCCGCCCGAGCCCTCTTCACTCCCCAGTCCCAGCTGGCTCCCTGCCACGTTCTCCTGCCCACGCGCGGAGAATCCTGACCTTTGAGTCTCCTCACTTTTCTTCTCTTACTGCTGGGCCCAGGGAAATGGGCAAAAATCTGGCTGCTCCTCTGCCAACCCCTGAGAGCTGACTACGAAAAGAGCAGGGTGAGGCCTGGCCCCAGGGCTCGCCACGCAGCGACCCGGCGTGGCCCCCGCGTCTAACCCTTCTGCAAAATGAGGCAGCAGTGAGTCGGTTCAGCCTGCTGCCGCCCAGGTGAAGATGCTGGCTGGTCCACAGTGGGCTGATCTTTAAGGGGGCTCGGGACAAGCAAACAACGGCAGGATACCAGGACACCCCAGCCGCAGCATCCCCAGCTCAGGGCAGGGAGGGTGCAGCAAAGAGCATACATGGAACCAGAGGACACGCCCTCTCACTGGGGCACCGGCTAGACGCTGATGGAGACCACAGCAGGGAGGATGCAGCCAAGAGCATACACGGAACCAGGGGACACGGCCTCTCACTGGGGCACCGGCTAGACGCCGATGGAGACCACAGAGCGGCCCTGGTCATCAGGCCTCGTTACGCACGAGCGCCCACCACACGGGGTCACACAGGCAGGCATGCGAGGGCCGGGTCAGTGCCAGGTACGCCCGGGACGCAGAGAGCGCTGAGCAGGCGGCCGCTAGTGATCACTGTATCAGCGTGCTCAAGGCCAGAGAGGGCCCCTCGCTGGGACTCCGCGTGCCGAGCTCTCCCTGGTCAGCCGCAGCCTCTCAGCAGCTTATCACAGCCCCGCACCGGCGTTCCAAAAGCAGCCGGGTCGATGAAAGCAGAATCTGAGGCGGGGCCGGAGAAGCTGCATTTCCAACCAGCTTCACAGCCACGCCCAGGACCGAGGTGAGGGACACGAGGTAAATTCCTAGAGGCCAAGCGGGGAACGACGGGCCAGCACTGTCCCCGACCTCCTGGCCACGGGCACCCACCGATATCCGTGGCCAGCTGCTTGCTGGAGTGTGCGGTCAGCTCCGGGATCTGCAGGATCACGTCGCAGTACGTCTGCATGGTGGCTCTGGCAATCGAGCCCAGCCAGCTGTCGGCCATGTTGTCCAGCTCAGGCAGCTCGTCCCCTGCAACGGGAAGGAAAGTCACCCAGAAACACAGCACTCACTCTGCGGGCCGCCCGGTCCAGGGCAGGGGCTGTGTGCGAGAACGCGCCGGGAGGGAGCATCCATACACCAGCGGCCCCCGTGGGAAGGGAAGTCCAGAAACAGAGACGACAATGGCATCGTATTTGCTGGGCCAAAACCTAGGTTGGGGCCCATAATCTGAGGACCAGACGACAGCCATCTGCAAGTGAGCCCAAGGCAGCCTCTCCCTGAGGACACCTCGCATACGGGGCCCTCCCTACGGTGAGCAGTCTGCACCCCCGGGGATGAACATGCGTGCGGGCTCCTACGGCCTCGGCACGCTCGCCACCCAGCCTGGGCAGCGCCCGGACCCTCAGCCCAGATCTGACTGCGGCTGCTCAGACCCTCCTGCCCCACAGACAGCGGCCGGCACCGCTGGAGAAGACGACCGGGACAAGGACACAGCTCCGAGGGTTCCTGCGCAGCTCGGTGATACAGCCCAGTGTGGCGTGCACGCCCGGAGAGGAGACGACCAGACACACACGTGCGCAGGGTACTCCAGCTCCGCTGAAGTTTACGTCCTGGGCAGAGGCCTTGCAAAGGCTTTAAATCTCCATCGGATCCCTCAGAAAAAGCTATTTAACCTAAGCCAAAACTTCCTACTGGCTGTTCACCTATAACCTGCAAGGCTGGAATGCTGCATTACCAGGTTACATACAGATGCTCACTGCGTGAATTCTTCCCAATCTCCTGTGTGTTAAAAATTGTCCTAATACACTGTTGAGACAGGGAAAAGAAAAAGGCAGCTCCAGACCGGCCGTTGTTGGTATCCTTATTCTCAACCATCCTGAGGTTCACTCTGTGGCTGGGCTGTCTTCACGCTGCCCAACCCAAGTGCCCAGCACACAGTAAACGTGAGAAAGCCTCTGCTCCGTGAGTGAGTACGTGAACGCACGAGTGAGAGCGATCACACACTCCCAGCATCGGTGTATGTTTTAGTGGGAAGAGAGGACACGATGTTCTTCCTGATATGATGTAAAAGACGGTATAGGCTTCCTGCCATGGAATCTGAGCCAGCATTTAATCATTACCAATAAGTGACACATAATAAAGCATTTATGGGTAAAATAATATGATATCCGAGATTTAATTGCTCCAGCAAAAAAAAAATTGAGGGGAATATAAAAACAAGAAGTTATTCTTGAGGCTGGATTACACTATCTATATGTGTACTAAATTCCTATGGAAAAAAATTGCTTAAAGTAAAAAGCACATTAAGGGCGGAGTGCAGTGGCCCACGCCTATAATCCCAGCACTTGGAAGGCTGAGGAACGAGGATCACTGTGAGTTCCAGACCAGCCTGGGCTACAAAGCGAATTGGATAGCGAGACCCTGTCTTAAAAAGACCAAAAAAAAGCATATTAAGGAAGTGCGGGTGTAGCTCAGAGGTAAATGTGCGATTAGTCTACCTAAGACCCTGGTTTGTGCCCTAAAAACTTCCATAAATAAATAACTCTTAAAAGTTGTATTAGTAAATAGGCAAAAATAAGAATCAGTTAAATAACCTCATGGCCTTTCAATAATTAGTGACGTTTTGGTGTATATGTATTTTTTATACATAACAGAAAAATATATTCTTGTTTTTAAAAACTGCAGACAGTACAGAAATGTAATGGGTAGAAGTAAATGCACTTCACGCCTTTGCTCCCCTCTGAGCCCGGAGCAGCCTCGTTCCCAGGGCACGTGTTCTTCTAGGCCTGTTTCCCAGCTGTTGCATGAATGTGTAAACACGAGATGAGGGTTTCTCAAAACATAAAAGTTGTTACGTATTATTTTGCACCTTATTTTCTTAACAATGTTTTTGCAGATCTTGCTTGTAAGTGTGAACAGTTCTCCTTTCTTACCAAGACAATCTGTAACTGATGGAGACATCACAAGACACTTAACTACTTCCCGAGCAGGAACTATCTGCACTGTGCTGAACTGCTCGCCATTACGAACAGTACAGCCAAGAGCCTCCTCTGCGCCTCTGCGCGCACAAAAGCGTGGGTTTCCCCACAGCGGACTGTGGGCGAGGAGCTGCTTTGTCCAGAGGGCGGGTTTACTTTGACTCCTGACAAAGATAAGGGCTTTACCAATTTACTCTCCATCAACAGGGTCTTTCCTTTCATTTCTGTTTAAATCACAGGATACTTATACAGATGGTAGAATGCATAAAGGGGACTGCACTTGTTTTAAAGAATCACCATAAAGCTCACGGCCATGAAACACTTCTGCGAGCAAGACCAAGGTCCCTGCCAGTGCCAGGAGCCCCACGTGCCCCTGCAGGCACACAGAGGGACCACCAGCTGGCCCGATGGCCTTCTAGCCCACCCACAGCCTGGCCCTACACACGAACCCCCCACGTGCTATCTATCTTTGGCTATGTGGATTCTGTTTGTCTCATTTCTTTTCTCACCAATGTGACTGTGAGATTTATCCATGTCATTAAGTAGCTACAGTCTGTCCCTTTTTCATGTTATATACTATTTCACTGCACTGCCGTACTATAAAGTATGCATCCATTTTACTGTTGATGGACATTTGGGTAGCTTCCAGATTGGGGTTATTACCAAGCCACTAGAAGATCCTTCTACATGTATGTGGGACACATGTGGAAGAGGCTCTAGGGTTTATATCTAGGAATAAAACCTGATAGACCAAAGACAGTAAGAGCATCATCACTTTTTCTAGAAGTAACCAACTGTTCTCCTAGTGGACGTGCCAATTTACGGAGTGGGTCAAACTTCTGTAGGTTCTTCTTCCTTCATTTATATCCAAAGTAGTTTTTAAACTGGGCATGGTGGCACACGCCTGTAATCCCAGCACACAGGAGGCTGAGGCAGGAGGATCTTTGCAAGTTCAAGACCAGCCTGGGCTACAAAGTGAGCTCAAGGCCAGCCTGAACTGCATAGCGAGAGCCTGTCTCAAAAAGACAAAAATAAATAAATTTAAAAATGGAAGAATTTAAAGTTATATGTAATTGTGCCTTATCAACTTAGAGACCAAGGAGCCTTGTGAAGTTAGAGCAAGTATGAGGTATTTGGAAAGGAAATGCTGCCTTTATGGCAAAGAGCTGATTTTTGACCTAACAAGCAAAATTGCTCTCAGGCACAAGGCCACGGGTCGGAGCAGAGTGGGTGGGTGGTGGGACCCGTCTGTGACCTCACCATACCACACCAAGCGCCGAGGAGCCTGGGCACTCCAGCCACCGCCTCCCCAGCCCAGGGGTCCCGGGGAGCTCCTGCAGGAGCCTTGGCACGTCTCCCAGGAGCGCTCTGCGCACAGCAGGGCAGAGTTAGGGCGGCTCCGTTCCGAGCCCAGGCTGGGCAGAACACAGAGCGTCACACGGCCCAGCCTTCCTTACTCCCATTTACTATTCTGACAACTGTTTCCGAGGAAGTCTGGGGAGACGCGTGTGCTGGGGGCACGGCCGTAAGAAGCCTCCAAGTGCCTTCGGGCGCCCACTGTCCCTCGCCTCTGCCCACTCTCACCTTGCTCCGGGGGAAACGGCAGCTTCCCGGCGTGCAAGGCCAGCTCTAAGGCAGAGTCCTCCTGCGTCACGAACGGCTCGAGATTCAGGGGCAGGGACATGATGTACTGCCCGATCTGAAACAAAGGAAGGCACTTTCAGCCCGACACGGACCTTAGGGGCGATGTTCAGGTGCGGGCGGCGGCGAAAGGGCAAACTCGCCGTCCTGTGTGCACAAGAGGGGGTAATACTGCGGGAAGGAGCACGGTGAGGGGTAACCCTTTTTTTTAAGGCAACACCTTGAAAAAAATCAAAGGTAGTTTGCGTAAGACCCTAGCTTCACCCTTCCCACAATGGCCGTGGTGTTCTGGAATGCGTCCAGCACGGCCTGCCTCAGTGAGGTCATGGAGCCCGAAGCGCTCTGTCAAACAACGCACCGCGTGAGCATGAGCTGTCATCACTGGTCACAGAAGAAAACCCAGTGAGACGGGGCTGTCGGCCGCATGAAGCCGGCCAGGGATCCAAACCCTGTCCCCTGGGTCGGCTTCTCTCCCTTCTAGATGACTTCACCAGGAGAAGGAACAAACTTTGTTTGAAAACAGCAATTTATAATTACAAATTAATTTGAGAAGAAAAGTAACAAAACTGTTTCATAATACAAGCTAGAAAATAAAGATTGGCCAATAAAAAACCCGACTTTGGCTGGTGGGGAATCACTCAGGTAAGGTTATACAGCAATGCGGGGCCGGGGAGGCAGCTCAGGGGCACAAGCGCCTGCCTGGCAAGTGCAAGGTCCCGAGTTCGATTCCCGGTGCCAAAAAAAAAGTAAGACAATGGAGACAAGCCTGCAATTAATACAGTATTTGTCACAAGTTTGTCAGACAGACCTGTGACAGTCACTATGGGTATATTTTAGGCACCCGTTTCTATTACAACTCATAACTGCTTCGTGTTTTACAGTAAGTATATGCTTCACCTCCAAGGAAGTCTGACCTCTGGATTACAACAACACACTTATTTTTATCGTTGAGCCTGTTGTTACGTTTTGGCTTTGGCTTTGGCATTATTCCATGACATTCACCTCACTGATACTTCATTCTGCACGCTACAAGTCAGAGGACATCAAAGTCAGATCTTCCCGAGCTAGCCGAAGTTCCTCTCAGAGTGTGATGTCCGCAAGTCAGTGCAGACGCCAAACCTACCCATTTGGAGAGCTCTGGGTGGGCTCCACCTGTGTTTCCAGACACTTAACATGTACTGGTAAAGCGGGTACGGGACAGTACAGGCCCAATACCCCGTGGTCCACAGTGCTAACAAACAATTCTCAATTCGGTCTTCCTCCAAAGAGCGTCACAGATGGTAAAATGTCATTTTTTTCTTTCATTTATTGACGTAGTATAATCCTTAATCAAATTAAGCAAGTGGCCCTGAACTCACTTATAACAACACCACTGTAGGTTCCCTTGAAGATGGAACACGCTCATCATCTTCCCCCAAGTCCGGAAGAAGAGAAGGGTGCTGCTCTCGGGCTGGGATTTCCTCACTGTAACTCCATTCCACTCAACAAGCACTTCTTGAGCAGCTACTGTGTGCCCAAACCCTACATGCTCCCGTATCTGTACACTTTCATCAGAAGCACACTGGCCGACTGCATCGAGTCGGTTTTACTGGAAATAAAGCTTCCTCACTATCAAGCCTGGCACATACGCTGTTTTTAAATTTCCCATACTGGACCCCTTTATGATGCTCAGGAGTCTGGGGGGTTGGGCAGTCACCAGTAGGCAAAATGTCATTTAGACACAAGGTTTCAATAATGTGACATCTCAAACTCCACTTACTGGCTTCAGATTGCATAGAGCGGCCCCAGGCTTTGCTTGGGAGAGCTGTTGATATGTACGGTATTCTTGGGAAATGGATGAGGAAAAGATGCTAATCGCCACCCGCGCAGGTATCTGTCTATTATTCTTACATATCCAACAGAGCATTCACGACACCCTGTCTGGGTAAGCTCTGGCTCAAGAAGGATGAGCAGCTTTCAGGTCAGACAGACTTAGGGTGGGCCCCGGCTCTGCCGCGGTGACTCTGGACGACGTAACCCGGTGGGGTCTGGCCGTGGTCTCTGAGAAGGGCCCCTCGCAAGCGGCTGTGAGGGTGACGTTACCACCACGGGACGCGGGGCCGAGACGGCAAGCTCTCCCGCGCAGTCCTGGCCGGGGACCACCACGGGACGCGGGGCCGGGACGGCAAGCTCTCCCGCGCAGTCCTGGCCGGGGACCA